GGGTGGGTAAAACTCAAACAAAGTAGCATTATAATAATTAAGAAGATTGAAATTGTGCAATTGGGGGTTAGAAATGTAGAAATAACAAAATATACAGGGTGTTTGGATAAAAAACTAATATGATGAATAATTGTTTATGCAATCAGGGATTAAATATGTAGAAATAGTAAAATGACAAAATAAACAGGAAGAGTGGGTATGAAAATATGGTAGTGTAAACAGGGTTTAAGAAAACTTAAAATAACATGAATAAACAGGAAGTTTAGATAAGAAAGGCAATGAGATCGTCATTACTAAAAAATTTACCTGTTTATGATGGCCATGGTAGGGAGAGGGGTTGGACGTAATTCTTTTGGATACAAAGTGTGGGTTTGAGCTTTTGGATAGCTAGCGCCTCAGCTATGCCCAGATGTCTTGATTTGATTCCTTTTGATAGGTTTGATTGAATTTTGTATATTACTTTGAAGGATTTTTCGAAAGGCGCTGAATGTCCTGAGTTGACCAGATGTTCTGTCACTGAACTGTATACACGTTTTCGGTCTCCTTTTACTAGCCAGGCTGGGTGGTGTTCGCGAGCACGTTTTTCAAGTCGGCGCATGGTACGGCCGATGTACTCAGCTCCACAAGAGCAAGTAAACTGGTATATGCACGTTGAGGTGGCCCAATGCGACGGCTTGTCTTTCACGTTCTGGCTGAACAGTTTCTTGCAAGAAAACGTCAGTCGTAGGCTCGCGGCGAAGTATGTTTTCCTTAGAGATTTGCAGAGACGTTTGCGAAGGATTTCTGCTTCAGTATCACCTTTGAATTCTAGATTAAGCAGAAGTGTTTTCTTTGGAACGGATTAGACCTGTTCTGAAGTCTTAGTCTTAGATTTGAGATTTCTGTCTATGAACCTGGGCGGGAAACCGTTTTCCATCAATTCCTATTTTCTTTTTAAACGAATTCCTTACTTATTTATTCTTATGTGTGTACATATGATATTTAAGTGTGATTATTAAAAAAAAGTTGTATTGACTCTTCTTGTATACAATGAAGAAAAAACCTAAAACATTCTCACACTTATTATTGTTGTTCCCTCTTAGGTTCCTAGCGGAACACAGGATGGTTTCAACAACAGCACATCAGCATTCCACTCTGTTCTCTGCAGTCCTCTTTAGCCCTGTTTTACGATTGCCCATAGGCTCTCATCATCTCTTCTGGTGATGACCACCCTAGTACATGATATGATTATGAGCAATAAATTGTGCTCGAAACGTCATCAGTAAATATTACTGTATAACACTGTGAGACTCTATCAAAATAAAATTTACCCATAATGGAATTACACTCTACCACAGTGCCCAAGTTTTATTCTTATATCAATGATACTTATGGTTTTCCTACCAGGAAGCTTATCAACAAACTCACACGACTTTGTCAAACTGAAGCAAGATTCACAAATCATCGGATTTTTAACAGTCGATGTTTAAAAAGTCATATAATTCCGAAATATTTACGTCTACGTACTCCAATTACTTCAAGTAAAATAACATCAGCTGCCGAAAATGTCAGTAGATTATGTCTAAGAGAAGAATTACATACTTGATATGATGAGCAATAAATTGTGCTCGAAACGTGGTCATCAGTAAATATTACTGTATAACACTGTGAGACCCTATCAAAATAAAATTTACCCATAATGGAATTACACTCTACCACAGTGCCCAAGTTTTATTCCTATATCAACCCTAGTACATACACATGCAAAACTGGTCACTTCTAGATTCGGGTTCCACTTGACAGACTGACTGGTGGTGAGTGATGTCACTCACTCAACCGTCTTCTCAGGCATATATGTCCAATCCATCTCCATCTATTCATTCTGTATATTTCTTTCCAGATAGGTGTTCTTGATTGACTCGTTGCCAGAGTTCCTTGTTGCTGCTAATCCTCTGTACAACCAGCCACCACCTAATCTTCAGTATGGAGTGAAGCCGCCAGTTGTTGATGACAGTTGGATGACAGTCTAGGGGAGATGGCTAAACCCTGATTCCAAACCTCCAACGACTGGCGTATGAAGCTCACTGGAGCTCACCGGAAGACGTATGGACAAAGGGCTTGTTCGATGTCCTGGATGTCTGGCCCCATTCAAAAAGGCGTATGAACCGAACTCCGGTCACCGGCTTCCAATGGATAGTGGACTCCCTACTCCACTCCTACTGCCTTGTAGGTCACACTTGGTTGTGTAAAGGCTAGAGCTGCACTCTCAAAGAAAAGGCCGAGCGATTCTGGGGACATCACTCGTACCAAATTCTCATGAAACTTCATGAACTCTCTTGCATCAGATCGCCGCGCCTGGGCAGCGATGATTCGAGATGTTCATGAAGCCGGCTCATCCTCCCGTAGGAGATAGCCGAAGTAAAGTAAAGTAAGTTAAGATATAGAAATGTAGTCTGGTGGAAATACTTTTCGTGAAGCACTAAGTCTCTGAACCATGAGATGCTGGAGCACTCACTTGACATTAATTAATTAGTTAGTGGTGAAAATCTGAATCTTGTTCCTTATATGCTGAGTGCAGCAGATTTCCCCACCCGATTTCATCGCACGAAAGAGTATGTGACACACCTCGAAAGAAAGAAATGATACTCATAGATTCAATCTCCTACTACCCAGTGTTGTTGAAATCGGAAACTTTTTATGACTGGCCTCGCTTGCGTCTCACTTGCGACTGACGACCTCATGTGGGACTTTAATAGATACCTTGTTTGGTCATCAGTGTTATGTGTGTGTGTGTGTAGTCCTTATTGTGGATGCTGAATGAATGAATCTGAATGAAAAAAATCACAATAATTTTGGTGTGGTTGTGTTCTCTGAGCTGGATGGTTTGGTTGCGAAGCTTTCATTGCTCTACTGAGCAGCATCTTCAGCGCATACTTCGATGTGAAGTGAGCTTTTAGAATTCTCTATGAGTTTATTAGTCATCTCTTCTAGTAACCCTGAACGTGATTGGTTGTTTTCGTGTGACATTTCATCCCCTAGTTTGCTTGTCTCGGTGCTGGCTGCTTCTTTGGTCTGAATGTCGTTAATCATTCCTTCTGCTAACCTTGAACGTGATTGGTTGTTTTTGTGTGACTTCTCACTTTCTAGTTCACTTGTTTTGGTGTTGACTGTTTCCTTGACCTGAAGTTTGACTTCGTTTTTGTGTGAATTTCTTCGTATGGATTGGTATATTTTGTCAATCTCTATGTGTCTATTGATTGCTGATTCATTTGAATACCAGGCCTCTAGGAATTCTCTGGCATTTTTGCAGTTCCCTTTGTCTAAGATTTGAACATTGTCCCAGTCGAATTGGTGCCCGTGGTTGTCTGCATGTAGTGATATGAGGGAGTGTATGTCGTGTCTTTTGACAGCTAGTTTGTGTTCGTGAATGCGAAGACGAAGAGGGCGTCCACTTTGACCAATGTAATGTTTGTCGTAGTCGTTGCAACTTATCTTGTAGATGACGTTAGTTTTGTCTTCTTTTGCCATTGAGTCCTTTGGTTTACATAGAACTGAGTGTAGTGACTTTGTTGGTTTATGAGCGACATCGATTCCAAAAGGTTTGAAGAGTCTTGCAGTGATTTCGGAGATATCTTTTATATATGGTAGGACGACTTTCTTTGTGTTTTCGCTGGTGGCCTTTGATTTGGTTGGTTGAGCTGGGGGTAGATGTCTTTTGATGAAGTTTCGTGGGTATCCATTTCTTTGGAAGACGTCCATAAGATGATTTTCTTCAATTTTCCTCAAGGCGGGAGTGCTGCAATGAGTCTTGGCTCTCTTGAACAATGTACGTATGCAGCTAATTTTGTGTGATGTTGGGTTGTTACTGTTGTAATTGAGTATTTGATCCGTGTGCGTTGGTTTTCACAATAACTATTAATCCTTTTTCCGTTGAATACATTGGAGCTTCTCAATTCTAATGTATGTGTCTGGGATGAATAGTCGTTTGGTTATTTGAACTCTCGATTATCCGGAACAGGTCTTTCATGTGCACAGCTCTCTCTAGTGCTGTTTATTATTATTATTATTATTATTATTATTATTACTGTTTCATTATTGTTCCCTTGGGAGTTCCAGGAGGCAACACATCTCTATTTTGTTCTATTTGGTGCTGTCCTCTTCACCTGAGTCAACAACTGCTAATAATCTCTCATCTCCTCCTCCTCCTCCTCGCCACACGATCTCTTCCATGTCACCACCCTCGGACGATCCACTAGTCATTTCCCATTGGGATTCCACTCGAGCGATGGCCTGGTGCGCGATATCATTCGACAATCTATTTCCATTTTCTTCTTCGCTTATATTTGTTAGTCAGTAGGTTTGTGGTTGGTTTGTTGCCGGAGTTTCTTGTTGTCAATCCTTTCTAGTCATTTGATCTTCAGTATGGAGCCAGTGAAGGCAGTTATTGATCAAAGTCTGTAACTAGAGTGTTGTTTACTTTTTATAATATTTCACCGACTGTTAATCGAATGTGGTGAAATCTACTGTCGACAAAACAATGATTACCTCGCATCAACTAAATATAACAAGAAGCTAATTGGTGGATGGGCACTGGATTCGAGCCTCGGTGGGAACATCATCACTTACTGCGCAATGTAGGCACACCCAGATGACGAGTCCAGAATAGGACGAAATGCGCATCCTGGATTCCAGTGCTAGTGTCACTATCCACCAATTAAATCCTAATTACATGCCTAGACATCATTCAAGCATCTGTACAAGAAGCCGACATGTCAACAACACCTGAGATCGAGCACTTCAGTTCAATTAATCAATCGACGGGAAAATCTAAAATTGAATTAAATAAATACAAGAAGAGTTGAAGGAAGGAACTTTTCTTGAACTCTCATACTCCACATACTCCCCCCCCCCACACACTGTGAACTGAAAAAATGATACAACTAGAAGGATTGAAATATTTCTTTAAAAATATATATATGTGCATATTAAGTAAGTGAAGGGAATTCACTCGTTATGCTTACCGATTTCAGTATATTGACCCTCTTGATAAGCTTTTGAAAAAAGAATACATACAATTGAAGCACCCTCTACAGCAGATGTAATAGCATCTAGAACATCAACTTCCTGAATCATATCCTTTTTGTCAATCCATATCTGAGTAGAAGAAAGAATCCAATATTAATAAAACAATAATAATGGTAATGATAATAATAACAATAATAATAAATTTGCAAGCATAGTGAATCACTGATTGACTGGCTGGTTTCAACATAGAAATTTGCACACATGCTCCATATACCACACAAAGTAAGAGAAAATAGTAAAAGGAGATTCAAAAGAGAGATAATAAACAGAAGTGTTAGGGAGAAAGAATACTAATATGAAAATTGTCTCCGACCATTGTTTCCAACCATTCCGAGGGACCCAACCAGTCAGGAAGCCAGTCTACACCCCCTTACGTGGCTGGCTTAAACTCACTGTTGTGGATTTCACTGACTGATGAAGCCATGTTTCGGTTTGACTGCCACTAGATGTTTTCCAACTCGAACTTGGCAACTCGAACTGCTGCACTTCGGTGCCAAGTTCTATGTTGAATCCAGACAGATGTTTTCCAGCCTGATCCATTTTGTATCAGCTGACAAATGCCCGTTGTCGAGGAAGGCGATGGCTACGCTAGGCATGCGTAACACATGTCCTAGCCATCTAAGTCGATTTAACTTCAACACTTCATTGATTGATTTCTTCTTCTCACCTAGCACTCGGTCGATGCCTCACCCCAATATTGCTCACCTTATTTTACTATCCAACACGGAAGATAAGACGCAGTGAACCGCTGACTTCACCTGACCGACATACCGCCTCGTGAAGGTACTTAAGTTTTATTGAAGTCTTACATAAACAGATGATGACAGTTATTCCTACTGTTTTAAAAAGCTGTCTGTATGAACTGTGAAACTATATTTAGATTGAGATGGCTACGCAACATATTGCACCTTCTTCATTGAGAAATGTTAGCTGAGATAGTTAGTATTAAGTTGGGAAAGTGGTCAAACCAAGACGTCATATCGGTTTATGAAGTCTTTGACTGTTGATTTAAACTGGCCACAAATAGATGTGTGTATAGTATTCGGATGGCGTCGTGGAAACGCTCAGAACCAATGGCTAGAGACTCTTTGTGATATGGCTCGAAATCGTTGTAAATAGAGCAGCATGCATTCACTCTTGGTAAACTTCAGGATCCACTAAACTCTCATGTTTTTTAATGTACACTTGTATTCATTATCGTTTTGTTTTGTTTTTTAATCTGTCTTTAAGAAGGTCCATCCATAGGAAACCCACATGGAACGGCCAACTGACAAGCTTCTCTACAGCTGGGTATCAATCAGTCGGAAATGAAACGTAATTAGATCTCTTGCCACTCGCAGCCGACGCATCTGCAGCTCTGATACCATAGAAGAAGAATTAAATTTCCTGAAAAAAAACCTTCATACAAAACGGTTACCCATCAAGATTCGTAGACAAAAACATCAAACAAAAAATCCCCAAAAGCAAGAAACAGCATCTGTGCCAAAAAAGATACTTTATATGAACCTCGACTTCAAAGGAGATCTAATCAGTGACGTCCTTAGAAGGAGAATCTCCACCTCTTTAAGAAGAACTTTCTTTGCGGCAACATTGAGAGTAGTGTTCTCTAGTCACCCACTTATCTGCAGAAGCCCAAAAGACAAGATCCCGCACCTGACCACTTCCATGTGAATATATCAGTTCACCTGTTGCTGTGGAGCCAGGTACATCGGCCGTTCACCGCGTATCCTGTCAAAAAGGGTCAAAGAACACTATCCAGCGTGGCTGCAGAAAGGAAGTAATGGCTGCATAAGGAGTGCAATAGTCGAACACCTCGTCAACACTGGTCATTCCATCTCAAAAAACGCTTCCTTTAAAGTAATCTACAAAGTGAAGAACAACCTTCCAAAGACAGTACGATTCTGTCTTCTTTAGATATGATAGAGAAGATTTGTAGTTCAGGTGGATGATTTTGATGTGGTTGTGTTCTCTCAGCTGGATAGTTAATTTGCGAAGCTTTCATCACCCTACCAGGTGACATCTTCAGCGCATACTTCAATCCGTTGACGTGAGCTTTTAGATTTCTCCACGAGTTTACTATTCATCTCTCCTGGCGACCTTGGACGTGACTGGTTGTTTTTGTGTGTTTTCACACCTTCTAGGTTACTTGTATTGGAACTGATTGTTTATTTGACTTGAACTTTGACCCTTTGTGTGTGAGGTATCTTTCTTATCAGTTGATAAATCACTTCACTCAGTTGACATACTTGACGTTGTTGGACCAGTACTGGAATTTGGTTGATGTTGTAGCAACGACGACGCACTTCTTCGTTGGAGAGTTTGTCCTGCCAACGAAAATGCAGAATGTACCTGAGGCACCCGTTTGTAAGAGAGTTCATGAAGTTTCATGGGAACTTGGTACGAGTGATGTCCCCAGAATCGCTCGGCCTTTTCTTTCAGAGTGCAGCTCTAGCCTTTACACAACCAAGTGTGACCTACAAGGCAGTAGGAGTGGAGTAGGGAGTCCACTATCAATTGGAAGCCGGTGACCGGAGTTCGGTTCATACGCCTTTTTGAATGGGGCCAGACATCCAACAAGCCCTTTGTCCATACGTCTGCCGGTGAGCTCCAGTGAGCTTCATACGTCAGTCGTTGGAGGTTTGGAATCAGGGTTTAGCCATCTCCCCAAGACTGTCATCCAATGGACAGTCAACCCAGTGAAGAGCGCCGGGCATCCGCTTTCGCCCTCTCACTTTGGTGAAAAACACCTCCGCCACGTGAAGGCAGTGAGTAGGACTTCCTCAGGAGAGGCTATGTGAGACGCCCGGTCATATGGGAGCATTTCAAGAGGTGTGTGGAGGAGTGGCCAACCCGCAGCGCAGGGCACCCACCCCTGACCATCCTGAGGCTTTGGAGTTATTAAACGTATATAGCACGTGAAACAATCCAGACATTAATAATAATACAACTTGTAAATACTTAAGATTATATCAATAACATTTTTGAAAAAAAATGTGCATATATCTATCTACCTTGATATTTCTTTGTTGTAGGCTGTCTGCAATTTTAAGCGCTATTTTGCCATCTGCATGACTATAACTAATCAGGACATGACCATTTGACTGAGAAGACCTTTGATTATCTTTCACTTCATAAAAGCCTTCATCGACTATAAAACAATTTGAATTAAAAAAAATAAAGAAAAGAAAACGGTCTTTTCATTTCATTTCACCAAAAAACAATGATGTGTAGACAGTGTAAACAGAGAAGCGTTAATACTATGTGCATGTGTAGACTAATCTGTCTGTCTGTCTGTTTTCGACATAGAACTTTGCACATATGTGCGGCAGTTCAATTCGCCACACTCCCTCCATGTAGCACACAAAGCAAGAGAAGAAACTAGGAGAAATGCATATTAGAGACAGTAAACAGAGGAGTGAGACATAAGAGCATTTTCATTGGAAATCATAAGTCACAAGGAGTGGATGCATCTGCACCAGCCATTGACAACGATTTTGAGCTAGCCATGTCAGCAATTGTTTCCAACCTTCATTGGTTTTTACCGTCCATACCGAGGACCCCAACCAGTCAGGAAGCCAGTCTACACCTTCCTACGTGGCTGGCTTAGCCTATCTGTTGTAGATTTCATTGACTGGTGAAGCCATGTTTTCGTTTGACCACCGCTAGCTCTTTTCCAGCCTGACCCTATATCATCTAACATTGCTCATTGTCGAGGAAGGCGATGACTAGGCATATGTAACACATGTCCCAACCATCTCAGTTCACTTCAAGTTGAAACATGTCTCAAAAGTACATAATAAGGAGGAAATCATCAGAAACACAATATAACATTAGGATAGAGGAGAAAAAAAAATTTGAGAAGAGAATATAACTGAATTCAGAATAGTAAAACTCCTCAAAACATTGGGAAAGAACAAGTGACAGTGTCACTCAGATTCTTCCCTTATTGATTCCTAACACATCACGAAGACATCAATCAAGCAAGTGAGTGTGTGTGTGAACTTCCAGTTTTTATGATTTTGAATTTCAACCTTAATTTATTTATTAGATGAGTTGACTAACACTCAAAATAATATTCCTTACAACTCAAAAGTAACTGAAAATGAACAGTGATAGCAAGAGGGCGGGCGGGTGCTATTAACGTTCAAGAAGTCTTGCCTATGTATGATGTCCTACTGTGCTTAGATTTCTCTTAGTGAAACCTTCTTTACTGGACTTTAGCGACTTTTGGAGTGACTCGTTATCTGAGGACAGTCTTACAGTCGACTTACAGTATACAGATAATAATATTGCCCTTCTGAAAATAAAGACACCAGCAGAATTTTCAGCATGTTTGGCATGGGTGATTTGCTCCTGTCAAACAGAAGATGATGCTTCAGCACTGATCTGCACCGATTACCGAGTTCAAATATAGGAGGAAGTGAGTGTTGGTTGAGTGTATTGATCAATTGAAAAAGTAGAAGATATGAAGAGGTTAGCTGTCTTTGATTATAGACGCGTTTGCATTTTGTCTCTCTCGTGTTAGTTTGGTATGAGATAATGGTGAGTAATGCTGAGGCTAGGTGCAAAGTGTGTTAGGTAAGGAGGGAAAGTGATTCGATGAGACTCTGTAGCTGCTACATAGATTTAGATGGCACAGACACGTGTTATGCTGCTGTTGAGCCACCGCCTCCTTAGTCGAGAAATGTTAGCTGACATAGGATTAGAGACTAGAAAAGAGCCAGGAGTGATGAAGTGAAAATCCGGAGTTAGTACGTGGCGCCTTCAACTGTCTGTTTCATGCAGTCGTATAAGCAAGTGTAGACTGACTGGTTGATGGCGTCGACACGTTAAGAACTAATGGCTGGAGACTATTTATTGGTGGTATGCCTCAAAGTAGTCGTTAATGGCTCAGATATCTTCACTCTTTTTAATCTCCCAGATCCACTAAATCCTCATTTTATTTCATATCAGTGTTCTTTCTCTTATACACTTCTGCTCAGTATAGCCTCTTTGAATTTTTTTTTTCTTCTTTGTATCTACCTTTGCGTGCTATACGGAGTTTGGTTATATAAGCTGCTGCATTTCTGTCTAAAGTCCTACGTTGAAGTTCAATCAGTCGTCAGTCTGTAGACTATGACGCTACTACTCATTGATACGACTTAATTCTTTTACTTTGACTAGACTGTGAGTAGAGGGAATCCTCTTAATCTCTTGATTACCTTTTCAATGTGTGTTGTTTATAATCATGTGACCTTTCATTGACATTCTGTTGGCGCCAATGTACGTACGTATTCATGCTACACTTAACAATTATGCTGTTCATCATGAATCAATATTTACAGACAGAATAAGAAATCAACGCTGGTCGACTGCTGCTAATTATTACATGAACAGTAAACGCAATTCAGATAGTATCTTAGCCAAAAAACATAGAGAAGCCCTGGATACTCTCCGCAAAAATGACATAATAATAACAAGACCGGATAAGGGCTCAGGAGTGGTTATCTTGAACAAAGCGGACTACTTTGAGAAGATGAATACTATTCTTAATGATAATTCAAAATTCCAAAAAATCTCCTCTTCTCTGGATCCGATTGAAAAGATAGAGATGCAGTTGGCGGAAACACTGAAAAGACTGAAACAACAAGGCTTCATCTCACAGAGTCAGTACACGTCACTTAAACCTACCGGAACGTTCACACCAAGACTATATGGCTCGCCTAAAGTGCACAAAAATGGTGTACCGCTACGGCCAGTATTAGATATGCTAAATTCACCATACCATCCGGTAGCCAAATGGTTAGTTGAACTCTTACAGCCCCTTCATACTGAGTTCGTGAAACATAGTGTGAAGGATACATTTGGATTCGTTGAAAGGATAAGAGATTTAAATGTTGATAATAAATTCATGATATCATTTGACGTATCTTCTTTATTCACCAATGTACCTCTCATGGAAACAGTGGACTTTATATGTGAAGAACTTAAAAGACGAAACATAAATGTTGGCATTCCTATATGTTTCATGAAGGAGCTTCTCTTGAAATGTACAATGAATGTCCACTTTTTATTTAATAAGGAACTGTATAGACAAATCGACGGTGTGGCAATGGGGTCGCCAATAGGACCCATTCTAGCCGACATTTTCCTGGCGAAACTAGAAGATGGGCCTTTGAAAGATGTTATTAATGAACTCGAATTTTATTGTCGATACATGGATGATACTTTTTTGATTATGAAGAACGAAAAGGAGGCAAAGAACATCCTGGACAAATTTAATGAGGTACATCCTGCAATAAATTTTACTATTGAGAAAGAAAAAGACTCTAGTATTTCATTTCTAGACGTCCTTATGACCAGAAAAGAGGATGGCACAATAAGAAGTGTTTATAGAAAACCTACATCAACAGGCCAGTACACACATTTTCTCAGCTTTGTGCCCTTGAAATACAAACGCAATCTAATAAAGTGCTTGGTCCACAGAGCAAGAGAGATTTGCTCGGATGAATGTCTTGACGAGGAGCTTAACAATATTGAACGGTTGCTGAGTGAGAATGGTTATCCCGAAAAGTTTATTGATAAGAATCTGAATCTAAAACCAAAACAGTCCAAGTTACCAACAGTTCCAAAGAAAGCCTTGTTCTTACAGATGCAGTTCCTAGGAGACAATACAAGTGAGATACTAACACATCGCCTCAGAAATGCGGTAAAAAGAGCATTCCCTGCTGCTGAATTACGCTGTATCTTTAAAACCACCCCTCTTCTGCGTTCGGGAATAAAAGACAAACTGCCTAATTTCGCCTCTTCCATGTGTATATACCAATTTAACTGCTCCTGTGGAGTGAGCCAGTTACATAGGCCGTACAATTAGGCGTGTTTCTCGTCGAATTTCCGAATATCACCCTGCCTGGTTAAGCAAAGGACAAACAAAATCTATTCTCAGCGCTATTCTGGCGCATCTTGTGGAGACAGAACACAAGATTGACGTCAATCATGCTTTCAGGGTCATTTACCGCATACCTACGAATCTCAATTTTGCTTTAGGAGTTCGACTTCTAAATATTGCTGAGGCTGTGGGAATCCATATTAATAAGCCTAATTTATGCACACAAAAGAAGTTAGTCCAGTCATTATCATTACCTTGGCCATCCAGGTTTGAATAATCCTGAATTTTTGTGAAATTTCCCTAATTTTAGTTGATATTCTATTCGCTTTTATATCTTTTATTATTATTATTATTATTATTATTATTTAAGCATCTTTAATGAACTGCAATAACATTGACCATACTTTACAAATCGATATTATTTAAAAAAACGCTAATATTGTTATTAACTACTAATTTAAAATATTTTATGTATATAAACATGCATATATATAATTGTAGAGCCTGGAAGAGGAATTTATCGAAAAGAATATTCTTTGCTTGATTATTTTGTGTTTTATAGAATAATGAAATCATTTAATTGCCTTGTTCCTACTTACCTTTATCACCCCTTTTATTATCTGTTGACATTGATGATGGAACAACATCACTACCATTGATATCGCCATCATCATCATCATCATTATCATCACAGGCATCAGAAGATATTCGAAGTTCTTTTTCAGAATTCATTATTTTCTCAGAAAATTTTGTTGCAAGTAATTTCATTTCTTTAATGGAATTATCCAGAGTAATTTCAGAAGAAACAATACGTATGGTAAGTAATATCTCATCCTCGTAATCATTCGGTGGTAATGTCTTCAGTAACGATTCTAAATGACCCAAAATGTCACGTCTCATGAAAGCAGTTTTATTCTCCGTATTTAGAGCCAATATACGAAGGACTAGGTATTTTGCGAAAGTCAAAAAGAAATCCGAAATTTGATGAATTCATTAAATCCTGCTTTATTAACCTTTATTGCTTGTTTTAAATTCGTATCGGGAAATAAATGTTTCCAAAAAGAAATCCATTGATATGTATTCATACAAAATCCTAATAGTTTGACAACATATACACTAGTGACCAGAGATTCTTTAATTCTGTAATTCCAAAATGACAGATTTCTATAGTTCATGACAGTAACAGAATTTAAATCCCGGTCGGTGCGTACTGATGAAGAGTCCCAAACTAGGACGAAATAGATGTCCAGTACTCCCAGGTTTTCCAATGCTTCTCTAACTAATGCCAGCTCATGATGAAAATCCTGTAACCAATCAAATCCCTACGAACCAACATTTGAATACCAATGAGATGCTCACTAGCGACTTGCCCTATCCAGGTAGGTAGTTACCTGGGGTTCTGGTGAGAAGTCGTGACCAGTAGGGTGCAGCAGGTCGGGTGTGGGGACAAATACTCGCCGAAGACACTGGCTAGCGGTCGCGCCATGTCGTAAATTGGCAGAAGTTAGAATTCACGGGCCATTGGATCGGGTCCCAGTGGCTTAATGGTATACGAGCTTGCCTTGTAACCAGAAGGTCCTGGGTTCGAATCCCAGTGGGTGCGTACCGCTGGAGTGTCCCAAACTAGGACGAAACAGCTGTCCAGTACTCCCAGCTGGTTTTCCAATGGTTCTCTAACTAATGTCAGCTTATGATGAAAATCCTGTAACCAATCAAATCCCTACGAACCAACATTAGAATTTAAATAACTTGGTAGCCCTAAGAAACAGCGTCAATTTGGATTAATTTAACAATCAATCTGAATTCCTGCAGGAGTAACATTAGTTTGATGACATAAGGTAAAATTCTCTTGAGCTATAATATAACAGTTTTCGTGATTAGTTCCTTTTATATCAATGTTCCTAGATTCCCAGTGATAAAAGGGAGAGTAAACTGAATCAATAAGTCAGAGGCTAAAGATTAGATAACTGACCAACTTTTAAAAGTGTACCCAAGATGACTAGAATGTGTACCAGATACTGTCACCTTGGAGAACACTTCTGGCAAACGTTTTCTCAAGCCACCTCTCGATAAACTAGGTGACAGTTTTGAGGATAATGGTTATGACTCGTCAAATTGAAATCTGAAACTAGACTAAACTATTTGCCTTTCAATAATCTTTTATCTTTCATTTTGAGTAGTTTTCATCAAGAAACTATACAACTAATCAGAATATTTTTGATATCCAGAACAAGCTGGATTTAGGATAGGCAAATCATGTTCTGACCAAATTGCAACTCTACGCATCATCATCACAGAACAAAGCATGGAATGGTAATCAAACCTCTACCTCAACATTATAAACTTTGAGAAGGCCTTCAACAGACAGCGTTGACCGCGAAGTAATTTGGAAACTACTCAACTACTACGGCGTACCCCAAGTATTCATCAACCTTATTCAACAGCTGTAAGACAACGGCACATGTCAAGTCATCCACAACAGACAGCTCAGCGAGGCGTTTGGAGTAAACACAGGATTCAGACAAGGGTGCTTATTATCACCAATGATATTCCTAATTGTGGTCGACTGGATTATGCGTCAGACAGTGGGAAACGAGAAGACAGGGATATCCTGGACCGACGTGAAGAACCTAGAAGACCTGGATTTCGCGTGTGGATGATTTATGTTTGATGTCACACAAAATCGAAGACTTACAAGCGAAAACCGACAAACTCGTCGGTCGAAGAAGCAGCTGGAGAAGACAGGACTCCAGGTGAACATAGACAAACGGAGGATATGAAAATAACCAACCAACAACAACAACAGCAGCAGCAGCAACATCCACCGCCAATCACCATCAACGGGAGGGATTTGATGAAAGAGCTTACTTCATTCACTTATCTAGGGAGGGAGCATTCATTGTCTCAACTACAGCAGGAACGAACGGGGATGTCAAATGGAGAATCGGGAAGGCGAGAAACACATTCATCAACCTGAAACCAATCTGGAAATCTTCCACTGTCACTCAACCCAGCCAGCATCAACAACAAAATTCGGATTTTCAATACAAACGTCAGTCAAGTCAGTCAGTTCTTCTATACGGATGGATCAGAAACTTGACGGCGGATCACAAAGAATATTTCCAGCAGCCTGTTGCAGGCCTTTATCAACAACTAACTGTCTTCGCTCTATATTCAAGATCAGATGGCCGGAAAGAATCACCAACAAGAAACTATAGGAGCAAACAATACAAGAACCAATCGCCCAACAAATATGCAGGAGAAAGTGGAGATGGATTGGACACTCACTGGCTGAGGAGGCCACTCGCTGAGTGACATCGCGCGTCAGGCCAACGCTCGAGTGGAACCGGAAAGGGAAGTGGCGGCGAGCGGGACGTCAGTGCAAGGGTGACATGGAGGAGATCGTGTGAAGAGGAATTGAATAAGTATCCAATAACATGGACGCAGGTGAAAAGTACAGCAGAAGACAGAAGCAAGTGGAGGCGTGTAGTTGAAGCCCTATGTTTCACTAGGAACCCAAGGGAATAATACTAATACTAATACTTAGGCGTCTATGTGAAGAGTAAATAAATCTTTTTTTTTTCAAATATACAGCTTACTGAAAAACTTTATTTAAATAATTTACCTTTGTTCATCTGCTTAACAATAATTAATTCATCTGTTTTCTTTTCACTACTTATAAGTGAAACGAAATATTTCAATAATTGAATAATTCCTTTTTTCGTTATTTTAAGTTGATCAATTTCAGTATAAGTGAAACTTAAAAAAATGATTAGAGTTGTCTGGATAAACACAAAATCAGAATGGTTATCTTTTATACAATGAGAAATCAAACCTGAATTTCTGAATTCGTTGAACAAGTGTAACGAATTATAATATTACGTAGACAGTAATCAAGAATTCGTCGGTTGATCACTTCATCTTCATACAGTAATGCAGCATTCAATGCAAAAATGATAGATTCTATCAACCATTTGATTTTCTACTAAAGTATAAAAATGATTCATTAACACACTTCATTACCTCAGATAAATAATCCATAGTACTTGTGCGATTTAATATACGCCGTGCTTCAGTTAAGTAAACATCAGACTTTATCATTAGCTGGGCGAAACTAATACTCACAGAAATATAGGATGCTAGAGTTTTTTGAAAAGTAATAAATTTTGGAATCCATTCAAGAGCAGGAGGTGGATCTGGCAGAGAAGCAGATTTAAGTAATATACCACATCCTAAAGGAATAGCTTTTCTTCCTAAATCACGGTAAATAATAACAAGATTTCGTATAATTGATGGTTTTGACAATTTATTCACAGCAATATTAATACGATACTTGTTTACATCAACTGGTACTTCATCAGGATTGCAACTGTGTAGGAATGATGATAGTAACTGATCGAATTCATTGGTATCATATTTTTTGGATTTACAATGTAATATCAACTGATCTATGATTCCTGATGTCTTTTCAAACAGTTCATCGTCAACACTTGTACTCATCTACAATTGAATAGAATATGTGAGATGATATTGTGGTTGTCAAGATTCAGTAGTGATGCCTGCAAAATTAATATTTTTGAATTTTAGTACAAATAATGATGAAAATATTCATTGAACTAGATAGACTGTAACAGCAAAGCAAAATTGTGAGTATGCAGAACCTTAGCCAGCAGTGCTTATGAAAGAAAAAAAATAATAAATGGGACATAAGAAAGGCCTGTGATCGCAAGATGGACTACCACCACATACTTACGTGAAATATGAGAGGCAACAGATATCATACTGACAACTAACAATTTCCATTTTATACAAATAAGCTTGTCTTCAGAGTAGAACAGTTTACTGGACGCAATAAATAATAATGTGACGCATATAATAAACAAACCAATATGGGACTAATTTCATTTCAGTTAGTCCAGTTTGTTGAGGAAGGCTCTGGTTCAGCATACGTCACATGCGTCCTAGCCACCTCAACCGATGAAGCTTCACAGCTTCACCAACCTACTTTTCCTCTTTACCCGGTATTCCATGCCTAAGCTCATCATCACTTATGACCATATTAATCCACTAAGTACGAAGATTGAACAGAGACATCTATAGTAAAAAAAAAAATCGTTGGTTTTCTGGTACTTTTCACTTTCAACGACCATATCATAAAGTTTTAAAGGGAGAAAAGGGTGAAGTAACGCATGCTACGCACGCTCTCTGATGACAAGGCAGATATCATATCGGCGCCGAAGATCACACACTTTCTTTATCCCCACTGAGGACTCGTCAACAATCAGCCCACTAGGGCTGATGCAACACATTTAACCACTTAAAATCTTGTCCCTAAACTAGAAGTCGTGTAGACGAGTGCTATAGAGTCATCCTACACCTCGCCTAACTGGAGTTAAAGAACAAAAAACCCGCGAAAACAAGGTGACTTTCACACCTAGGTGTGGCTTTGTCACTCTCCAGATCCGGGAGGACTGAGACGGGTACAGGTAACTGATTACAAATAGACCACATAGCAATAAGCTATCGTTGGCGTGGGTCGGTAGGGGATTGTCGCTCCTTCTGGAACACCTGTGTAGATACCGATCACGCACTGGTCCGCGCTCGTGTGTGCTTACGACTGAACGGACGTAGGAAACAGCTGGCGGTAAACCCATCACGTCCCCAGCTCGATCAGGAAACTAAGTCCCTATTTGAGGAAGAACTAGCTAAACACATATCTGAGTTCGACAGCTGCGCTCACCCTGATGAAGCCTGGAAGAATATTCAATCAGCCATAGATACAGCTGTAAAAGCTGTGAATAAGGTAAATCCAAAGGTGAGTAAAAACCATTGGATTTCGACTGCCTCATCCGAACTGATAGATGCTAGAAGACTTATTCCGGCGAGCTCCGAATTCAATGAGGAGCGAAAGCTGCACAAAAGGAAACTTACGAAAAGTCTCCGCAAGGACCGTGAACAGTGGTGGTTGACAAAGGCGAAAGAGATGGAAAAAGCATCGGCGATAGGCAACACTAGGCAACTCTTTAGACTCATCAGGGAAACGGGTGGGAGAAGGCAAATCATAAGTGAGACTATTTGTGAGAAAAATGGCTCCTTAATTAGCTCTCACGATAGACGCCTCGAACGCTGGAAAGAACACTTCGAGGAACAGTTTAACTTGCCTACAGCCACACTGAGCCTCCCCGCCATCCAGCACACACCCGAATGGGACATAGACACTGGCCCGCCGTCTGTAAGTGAGGTCACCAAAGCTATCTGTAATTTGAAACGAGGCAAAGCGGCAGGACCCGACGGAATTATTCCGGAGGTGTTTAAATATGGGGGTGACACTAGTATATAGTTTAACTAAGGTACTAGGTAACGTCTGGGAATCAGAGACGGTTCCATCAGACTGGGGTAAGTCACTTATCATACCAGTATTCAAGAAGGGAGATAAGTCCTCATGTGATAATCATAGAGGAATCAGACTAACGAACATAGTCTCTAAAATCCTAGGCTCAATAATCATGAACAGACTAAGCCGAACTCGGGAGGAACAAACAAGGGAAAATCAAGCGGGCTTTAGGCCAGGTAGAGGGTGCATAGATTATATCTTCACTCTCCGACAGATACTAGAACATAGACACACTTTTAGGCGTCCAACAATTGCCATATTTCTTGACTTGAAGGCGGCCTTCGACTCCGTGGATCGAGAGGTACTATGGCAATGTTTGACTGTGAAGGGAGTGCCAAGAAAGTACATTGCACTAATCAAGGCACTCTACTCAAACTCACGTAGCTGTGTAAGGGCTTATGGGGAATTGTCATCTGAATTGATAACAACCAGTGGTGTCCGTCAAGGATGTCCACTTTCCCCTTTTCTGTTTAACTTCATCATAGATATGCTAATGGAAGTATCCTTAACTGAACTTAACGACTTAGGAATCGACTTGTTACCAGGGAATAGTTTTATAGACTTAGAATACGCAGACGACATAGTCCTGTTAGGGGAGGACGCTGACAAAATACAGCAGAGTCTTCTGAACACCTTGAGCAACAATCTTCGTATGTTTGGTATGCGATTCGCCCCTGTGAAATGTAAGATGCTGCTACAGGACTGGACTACGTCAACTCCTAGCTTAGGGATAGGGAGTGAAGTGATAGAACATGTCGACCACTTCACCTATTTGGGAAGTTGTATCAGCACCAACGGATTGATTGGTGACGAAATCTCAGCACGGATCCAAAAAGCTCGGGCTGCTTTCGCTAACTTACACCGTCTCTGGCGTAGGCGTGACATTCGGCTATCAACCAAGGGAAGTGTGTACTGTTCAGCAGTTCGCTCCGTCCTTCTCTATGGCTCTGAAACATAGCCAATACGAGTTGAAGACATCAATAGGTTAACTGTTTTTGATCATAGATGTCTACGATCTCTTTCCCACCTTAGGTGGTATAATAAGGTAAGTAATGTTGACGTTAGGCGTGTAGAGTGTTGGGCAAAGAGGGGAAATCAATCGACGAGGCTATAAAGTTACATAGATTGAGATGGCTAGGTCACGTGCTGCACATACCTAACCATCGCCTCCCCCACCCCGCCGACGGGCATTACTAGCTGATGTATGTGCAGGTTGGAAAAGAGTAAGTGAAGTGGTGACCAAACAAAAACATCTCATCAATCAATCCATGAAATCCTTCCTTGACAGTTAAACTGAGTCAAGTCAGGTAGGGAGATGCAGACTTCCGGGTTGGGGCCCGCCCTCGGGACTCTAGGAATCAATGGCTGGAGACAGACAATAGGTGACATGGCTCAAAATCGTTGTCAATGGCTTACGCAGATGTATTCAGTCTCTGTAATCCTTCATATTCCTTTTCACCATTACTCATTCCGTTTCACTCTTATACTTGTCAAAACTCTATTGATTCTCTTCACTCATTTTCTTGTCTACCTTTGTGTGCTATTTGGAACGTGGCGACTCGAACTGCTGTACTTCGGTGCCAAGTTCTATGTTGAATCCAGCAGCAGCAACAAACATAGATGGGTATGACAAAAACAACTAAAGGATGAGAAGTTATAAAAATCTGGATGATGATAAGTGAATACCTCTGCAGTATTAGGCCAATAATGCTTAGTCGGAGCCAAAAGCTTGCCTAGCTCTTTCACATTTGCTATTCCGTAGCCACACTTCACCTTCGGAAGACTACAGGTCATAGATGTTCAGATACTGCATTAGTCAAGCTGATCTCCTTGTGATCACAAGATTTTCCTTTTATAGACTAGGGTGATAAAAGATCTACACCAGTCCAAATATTAATGTTACTTAACAACCACTCTCATCCCCATGCAGTGAGCCTAAGCAATTTTGTGAGGGCTAACGATACCACCTAACTACCAATACACCTCGGCAGATGGAGAGAGATTCGAACCTGGTAATTGGAAGTCTAGCGCATAAAGCAGTAAGTTAGAGCTCCAAAGCCTCAGGATGGTCAGGGGTGGGTGCCCTGCGCTGCGGGTTGGCCACCCCTCCACACACCTCTTGAAATGCTCCCATATGACCGGGCGTCTTACATAGCCTCTCCTGAGGAAGTCCTACTCACTGCCTTCACGTGGCGGAGGTGTTTTTCACCAAAGTGAGAGGGCGAAAGCGGATGCTCGGCGCTCTTCACCGGGTTCACTGTCCATTGGATGACAGTCTAGGGGAGATGGCTAAACCCTGATTCCAAACCTCCAATGACCGGCGTATGAAGCTCACTGGAGCTCACCGGCAGACGTATGGACAAAGGGCTTGTTGGGTGTCCTGGATGTCTGGCCCCATTCAAAAAGGCGTATGAACCGAACTCCGGTCACCGGCTTCCAATGGATAGTGGACTCCCTACTCCACTCCTACTGCCTTGTAGGTCACACTTAGCTGTGTAAAGGCTAGAGCTGCACTCTCAAAGAAAAGGCCGAGCGATTCTGGGGACATCACTCGTACCAAATTCCCATGAAACTTCATGAACTCTCTTCATCAGATCGCGGCGCCTGGGCAGCGATGATTCGAGATGTTCATGAAGCCGGCTCATCCTCCCGTAGGAGATAGCCGAAGTAAAGAAAGAAAGAAGAGACTCGGCTTTTCACGCATTATCTAGCCAACAATTTACAACCACCATATCAATCACCTCCGGAGTATCTGACTATGTTTGATTCCAAAATATTGCCAGGATTCGGTAGAATCATAATATGAGCCACACAAAAGTTACACGTATAGTCGAGGTAATCATAAAGTGTTTGGGTGGTGTTACGCTTCCCTTTCCACTATTTGTGGAAGTACAAGTGTTGGAAAAAAATGACGGTCAAATCAAAATTTCGTACCAGCACAACGATAAAAAGTATTGATCTAAATACTGGAGATATGGCACATTGGTGCAAGCACTCGACTTTCAGTCGATGCATCCTGGATTCAAACTCCATTCTATTCAATTCAACCCGGTCAATTGGGTATTATCATTATCTCTCACGTAATAAGTTTGGCTCACAGTCTGGCACACGCAAAACGTTTCAGGTATGAGTTCTGACTAACTAGGTGTAGGGAAATACAGGCTGCTTGACTTCGATTCAATTAACTAACAGAAGCTATGGTTGGTAAACTTAGGAGATGTGGCCTAAAATCTGTCGCACTGACGCATATGCACTTTTAGTATGTTCTATCTGTTCGCTTCAATAAATCCTGTTATATATAATAAGCAGCACCGGCTATTATTCGGCCACCATCAATGCTGATGTATAGCTTAAGCCTATCTGAACCATTAGAGTAATCATTATTAGGCTTTGAACTAGTTTTATGATATCTTTCAGAATATGAAGTTTCCCTCCTAAAGTTACATACGGGATCCCTCAAGTTGTAAGTGATGCTTGGTCTTCACCAAATCGGTTCTAGCTATAATTACAGGACCGTGGTATATAAGAAATTGGGAAAGTCATTTTTCTTAGTTCTTTGTTAATATATAAGAAAAGTCTAGTAGGGCCGTTCTTCACTAATTAGCTGGTCTCTATATGTTTTTTCCAGATTTTGCTACCAACAATTTATACTGACTAATTTTCACAGTATTTAAATAAAGCACTAGTAGCTTAGTCAAAGTAGACAGGCTTTAGAAAATTTCCTTGCAACTCAGAAGTTTTTTGACATGTCCACACAGAGTAGTTTGTTGGTCTACAATGAATCGTTCAAGTAATTACTTTGGGAACACGTAGAATTATTAACTTATAAGTTTACAGAATTAGCTCAACCTCCTGCTAAATGTAATACTCTCAAGTTACATATCCGGACGAGGCTAGCCTCAGAATTCAGCTGCGCCATAAACCGTGAGCTTAAATAGCAGCATTACATGGTCAACGGAAAGCAGACATCAGTACCATGTATATCTTATAATTCATGGGTCAACGCCAATTTCAACAGGAGAGAATTTACTGAGAGTAATACGCGTGTTTAAGATATTGGGTCAAGTATCAACCTGATACGGTACACCTTTGCAATGGAAGAATCAATTATGCAACGCTTTCGCCAAAAGAGCTATAACCACTAATCTCAGTAACTTTAGTTCCAGTAGTATACTACCCTTTAGGGTTATCTGGGTTACAACCCATCTGACAGTGGTTCTTAAACCTTATAGATACTTCAGTAACTTCTTCTAGGTGTAGAATGATCAAGGAGATTAACAATTAAATATTTTTTACAGTTGAAGTATCGGACCCCAAAAGGACGAGCGCACCAATGACTTTGAACCAACCAAACACTTATAGGCATATTTTTTGTGATAGAAAAACTGTATTTCCGAACTTTATTTTCGACATTGGCGTTTCTGCTTTTAAAAGTTCTATATTTGTACCACAACCCAGCTAGCATTGACATTGGGCGCACTGCAGAATCTTTGGGGCAGGCTTCGGGTCATTGTCCCACGTTCTTCAGTACGCGCAAAGTCTTCGCCCCTAAAATTCTTCAGTGCACTCGAAGGACATGCTGGCTGGGAAATAGATTTTAAACAGAGCAATAACACCTGTGTAGGAAAATACTTTGTGGAACGGCGACACCTACTCTAACAAAGTGAGATTTTGGCTCATACGTGAGACCTTTAATAAAAGGTTTTTTCCACGGGCGACTCAATGCAAACATGTTCTGGGGACGAACTATACATATATATATATATAATATCGACATGTCGATATTGAGGAAAGTGCACTTTCCTCAAAGGCCAAAAATCTATCTAAAAGCTCCTGTATCTACTCAGAATTTATCTGTGGTACTGGATGGTGGATAACATAGTATCTTTAGTCTCAACAACTATCGATTCACTTTACCTTGCTTACTGCCCTTTCTCGCGGCCCCAAAATCCCGCTACGCTGCAACCTTGAATCTATTCTCGCGCTTCCAATATCAAATATCGTTTTTAAGAGCAAGTATAAACCAATCTAGTTTCTTTGTGCTCGCTTTTTGTTTATGAGGTAAAGGTCCCTGATCTTCAGTAAACTTCTGGGTGGTTCGTCCGGCCACTTGGAAATTTAGAAGAGTCCAAAGAATCTGATCCCGGGAAAAGGCACCATCACGACCTTAAATTAGTGAGTAGTATTATAAGGAAGATGCTCCCAGCGAGTTTCCCTGAAGTATCGATTAAAAAGCTGATTAGAATAGGCAAAAGAGATGATGAATGTTCTAATCAGAGTAGGTTGCTTAAGGTAGCCTTAGGTTCTCCTGATGAACGGAATTATCTACTGGCTAGTGTACATAACCTCTCCTGGTCAGGAATTTCAGCCAGACTTGATTTATCTCTTGAAGACAGACTTAAACGAAAAGAAGCTTTGTCCCAGCCAGAAACAAGACGTAAAATTGGTGAGACTAACCTTAAGCTGGTGGGTTTTCAAATAGTCAGACAGTGTGTGTGTGGATAAGCCAGACCGCATAGGAAGCCTGAAGGTAGTGTACACTAATATACGTAGTATTGGGAACAAATTTCACGAGCTAGGTGTATTAGTGGAAGACCTTAGCCCAAGTATTGTGGCCATTACTGAAACATGGCTGGTTTCTGGATTAGATGACACACCTTAGCTATGTGGATTTAGTTGCTTGCGCAGCGACAGGGTTAAGGGTCGTAGAGGTGGCGGGGTTGCTTTGCACATCAACAACTCCCTACACGTTCGTTTCGTGAAATCTGAAGCGCATGACAGTGGGACAAGTGAGGTAATTAGCTGTGAAGTAAGCTTTGCAACTGGCACTCTACTCATTGGAGTTCTGTATAGAAGTTCCTGCTGTCAGTGTGATGACTTTATTTTAGATCACCTCAAACAATGGAGTAAACACAGTAGCTGTCTTATTCTAGGTGATTTTAATGCACCTCATATAGACTGGTTAGCTGTCACATCTCCAGGATCCGCTAATAAGTTTGACAGCCGGTTACTCTTGACTACCATGGAAAATGCCCTGACACAAGATTCTGTTCTACCCAAGGATCTTCCTTGCTGGACTTAGTGCTTACTCATGACAACGACGATGTGGATGGTCTAGTTATTCATACACCTCTAGCAAACAGTGATCATGGGGTGTTAGATTTTAACTTAAGGGCTGGCAATTTAGTCAGTTTTCAAGCCGAATCCCGACCTAGTGTTTGGCATGCTGACATAGTCGCTATAAAGGAGCGTGCTTCAACTGCCGACTGGTCAGTCAATATGGTCTCGTCCATTGAAGATGAATGGGATAGATTTAAGAATACACTTGAGAGGGTTACCACTGATTTCATCCCCTGGAGGGTTCCTAAAAGGCCAACAAATCGGCCACAAGCTACAACACTCCTAAGACGGAGAAAAAGGTTCTGGAATCTCTTTGTTTCTACTGGGCTACAGCAGTACCGGCTGAAATCTTGTGAAACCAGAAACCAGTGTAAAACTTTGATTCACCAGTCAAGGATAGCTTATGAAACCCAGTTAATTAAAAGTTCACCAGGCTGCCCAGAGAGACTCTTCTCATATATCAAGAGAAGAACACGTAAGAGTGATGCTATCCCACCTCTTATGCTTGAAGATGACCAGACAAACATGGCTGAGGATAAACTGACTAAGGCTGAGGCTTTGTCCAAGCACTTTAGTCAAGTATTCTCTGATAATATTGATACCAGCTTTGTAACTTTTCCAGAAGGTAACTTGAAAATGGCACCCTTATACATTGGAAAGGATACTGTCCTAAAGTGGCTTCTAAGGCTCAATCCTGGTAAGTCCAGTGGCCCTGATGAACTCCACCCACGTATATTAGCAGCATTGGCTGAAAACATAGCCGAGCCATTGTCGGTAATCTTCAATATGTCTCTGGACCAGTCTAAATGTCCAAGAGACTGACTGGAAAGATGCCATCATTAGTCCGGTCTTCAAAACCGGATCTAGAAACTTAGTTCTCCTGTTAGTTTGACCAGTATTGTTGTTAAACTACTAGAAAGAATAATTCGTGATGCTATCATTCAGTTTATTGAAGGGACCAAACTTTTCGCTGTGGAACAGCATGGTTTTAGAGCAGGTCATTCTTGCTTGACCAACCTTCTTTTGGCCAGAGATAGTTGGGCAAGCTCAGCTGATGCTAATATACCGGTGGATGCCATATTCATCGACCTCAGCAAGGTGTCTAACAGAGTTTCTCACCCAGGTCTTCTAGTAAAGTTAGGTAGTCTGGGAATCAATAAAGTGGTTGCCGACTGGATTCAAGACTTTCTAAAGGACAGAAGACAAAGAGTACGAGTTAACGGAGTTTTATCAACATGGGAATTGGTTAAGAGTGGCGTTCCTCAGGGTAAAATTCTAGGCCCACTTCTTTTCCTGATTTATGTTAATGAAATTCCATCGGTAGTTAAGTTGTCCTGCTTACAGTTTGCTGATGACATCAAGATATGGAGGGCTTTACACGATGACAGTGATCAACTTGCTTTGCAGGAAGATTTAAACTTGTTAAGTGATTGGTGTAAGCACTGGGCCTTGGAGATTAACTTAAGCAAGAGTGTGGTTATGCATGTATCTCATAGTCACGTGCACAATTACTCAATGAATGGCATTACTCTCCCAGTGGTCACTGAGTACAAGGACTTGGGAGTGGTTGTGCAGCATGACTTGAAAACAGCAACAAACTGTAGAGCTGCGGCCACTAAGGGTTTTCGAATATTATGGGCTATACGCAAGGCTTTTGCGAACTTTGACGTTGAAATATTTCGTATATTATGTCCGACTTATATCAGACCTCATTTGGAATATGGGATCCAGGCAGCGAGCCCGTGTTTCAAATACGGAACAGACTTATTGGAAAGGGTGCAAAGAGTAGGAACTAAGCCAATGAAGGGTTCTCAACCCTCTCATATGAGGAGAGGTTAAGTCGACTGGGTTTATTTGCACTGTCATATAGACGACTTAGGGGCGACCTAATACTAGCAAACAATATCCTAAGAAATGATTTTGGAGCTAATTAATCTAATTTATTTCTTCCTCCTAGCACCAACCAATTGCGAGGACATCATCTCAAGGTTCAAAAACCACGGTCGAATCGTCTGCGTCTGGAGATCCGTTTTTCGCATCGGATTGTGAACCATTGGAACTCCCTACCGGAACAAGTCGTATCAGCTCCATCCGTTGATTCATTCAAGGCGAGATTGGACCTCCTGTGTGCAACAAATCGAAAGGATTAACACAGGCATATAGCCTACTATCCTAAATAAATTGTAAACTGTCGTAGGTTGGTTGACTCCCAGAGGAGTAGTGCTGGGATTAATCATATGTTTTTTGTAGCATGCGGTGTGTTAAGACTGTTAATACTGTGAATGGAGTTGATCGTTTCGCTAGTTAGTCCTCCGGTATCTTCGTCAAAAGTGAAGAGATAATAATGATAGATATAATTCAGTCTAAAGGACAGAGAAAGAAATAAAGAAAACGTAAAAATAGACAGCTAATTAAGTTTGAAGTTGATATATGTTTATACATGTATAAATATATATAATAATAATTTTATATTTTCATATAAACATAAATTTACATGAAAATGCATGCCATTTTTACAGGCACGATCAAGTACGATACAATGTCAAATAGTAGATTGTCTACAAGTTAGTAATGTTTGAACAGCTAAATATTTGATATATGTATAAATACACTCTTTGTCTGACCCATGTCGTATCATTATTGAATTAAACAGCAGTCCTCCAGGTTGCGCAGGAAAATCGACTTCATTTCGTTTTCAACCCGTAGTTGTAGGCATACGATAACCAACCAATATTGAGGTAAGTACAACGTTTACAAGGGATAGTAAGCTGTTTTGGAAAAGTAAAGGTGCAAAGGTGAATCATTAAAGTGTACTGAAATAGGTAAATGCAATGTATCATTAATATATGCATTCATAAAGGAAATACATTGGGAGACTATAATCCCTGAAGTAATAATAATAAGTGTAGTAGTTGGAGTTGTCAGGAGAGTAAGACGGGAGAGAATGTAAAGAAGTAAAACAAAGAATTTAGTAGTCTACCCCTTAATGGTGTGTGGGATTTTAATGGAATTGGCCATTTAGACGCAATCCTTGTATCACTGCATGATTGTCCAGCCTACGCTTAAAGGTGTCCACAGATGGCGCCACAGCTACATCTGATGGTAAGGAGCTCCAGGGACGGCAAACCCGCAGTGAAAAGAAGTGGGAGCGCGCCCGAATCCTTGCCCTCTGGTGAGCTATCCTATTGGGATTTCCACGAGGAAGCCTATACTTGCTCAGTGGCAGAACACCTTTGCTTGGGTGATTCTGGTCATTTGTTATCTTGTAGGTGGTAATCAAATACCCCCTAAGTAAACGGTAGCTATGTGTGAATAGGCCTAATTTCTTCTATATCTAATAATCTCATAATCTCTGTTGCACACTTGAATATTTAATGAAAGATGACAAAGACCGCAAATTAAATAAGTCAGAATGGTGTATTGTTAAGCCAATGCTGTCGGTTTCATCCAAAACTGAGAAATTTGTTGAGTGCGTCTCAGAACGATTTAAAAAAGGGTGACGTACAATTATTTGCTAAGTATAAGAGTTGCTGTAGTTGAAGGTAAGTGTTTGATTGACAAGAACAACCTTTCAGATTGTGGTATACGGTCAGTGGTTTTTCTAGGTTACAACAAGCTGGGAGTTTGACTGTAATTCGGAATGAAAACAACGGTAGAAAACAAATAGTTTGTTTCAGTTCAAACAGGCAAAGTGAAATTTACCATGAATTCCCAGAGATTGTGAGTTTCGATTCCGCCTACAACACTAATGAGGGAAAATAGGTGTAAATGTCTTTTAAATCCTACATTTGAAGTTATAGACTATTTTAGTTTGTTGTTGTCTTTATGTAACCAGTGGAAGGAATGAAGGGAAAACAGGCGAAACCTCAATGAGAAAGT